ATTCACTCCTCGTGCCAAGCGTGTTCTTGAACTCTCGCTCGAAGAAGCTCGCCAACTCGGTAAGCTCCTTCTCTCTAGCAAGTCATTTTGCCTCTGTATCTGGAGTCTCTATGTTGATTGTGAAGTGTGTTATCTACTTTGTTGATCCGGCTTTGCTAATATTTTCTTGTGTGGATATCAGGTCACAATTACATTGGATCCGAGCACCTTCTTCTTGGGTTGCTACGTGAAGGTGAAGGTGTTGCAGCTAGAGTCCTTGAGAATTTAGGTGCTGATCCTAGTAATATCCGCACTCAGGTAAAGTAGTCATCTCTGTGGTCAAACTGTTATTTTGAATTTGATATTTTTTAGAAGTTGATAGTACAATACATCAATAACTTAATTGAATTTGATGGCTAGGTGATACGCATGGTGGGCGAGAACAATGAGGTCACTGCTAATGTTGGTGGAGGAAGCAGTAGCAACAAGATGCCAACTCTTGAAGAGTACGGGACAAACTTGACGAAACTAGCTGAGGAGGTACTTATTTGTTGATCTGACCGAATGAGATTTCCTTTGCAGAGATAATATCAAGTTAAGACTTCATCAAAATCTTTCTTTTGCCTTTCAGGGTAAATTGGACCCCGTTGTTGGAAGGCAGCCGCAAATAGAACGTGTGGTGCAAATTCTTGGTAGGAGAACCAAGAACAACCCATGTCTTATTGGAGAACCTGGTGTTGGTAAGACAGCTATTGCTGAAGGACTTGCCCAGCGTATTGCCAGTGGAGATGTTCCTGAAACCATTGAAGGGAAGAAGGTAAGCACGAGACTTGTCTGTTTCTCAGTCTTATTGAAAAGTTTGCAGTTTAATAAGTGAATACTTGTAAATGAGTATGAGATACAGTCTATCTCGTTGACTTCAAATCTTCCATTACTGCATACTGGCTCAAAACATGTAGGTACCTTTACTGGGTTAGTTTTTGATTCCATGCCAAAATGATCAAAACAACATGATGAGTGATATGCTCTGTGTGCCCTCTGGTTTGCGGAGATTAACTTTCTTACATTTGTTTTTGCGAGAGAATATCCATACTGATTTGTTTTTGATTCTGTAATAATATGAACAACGTACTTAACAATTTAGACTCAGGCTGTCAGGCCACATCTAATTTCCTATGATAATGCTGAATAGTGTTTGTAGATGACAGTGATCTGATGGTTCTTGCGTTTTCTTTTTGGGTGGCTTCAGGTTATTACCCTTGACATGGGTCTTCTTGTTGCTGGAACAAAATATCGTGGAGAGTTTGAAGAGAGATTGAAAAAGCTTATGGAGGAAATAAGACAGAGCGATGAGATCATCTTGTTTATCGATGAAGTGCATACTTTGATTGGGGCTGGAGCAGCGGAAGGTGCAATTGATGCAGCTAACATTTTAAAACCAGCTCTCGCTAGAGGTGAATTGCAGGTAATTATTCTGTGTGATCCAGTTTACATAAAAACGCTCTGCACTTATGAGTAATTTATGGTCAATGGCTTAAGTATTGATCTTTAATCACAACAGTGCATTGGAGCTACAACTTTAGACGAGTACCGAAAGCACATTGAGAAAGACCCGGCATTGGAAAGAAGATTCCAGCCAGTGAAAGTACCTGAACCTACCGTGGATGAAACTATTCAGATATTGAAGGGTCTGCGTGAGCGATACGAAATTCATCACAAGCTTCGTTACACTGACGATTCTTTAGTAGCAGCTGCACAGTTGTCATACCAGTACATTAGGTGGCTAATCTCTCAGATTACTTGTTAATAATTTTCTATTAATTAAGGGTGTTGTTAATGTTTCTTACCTCTGATTGTCCTTTGATTTCCAGTGATCGTTTCCTTCCTGACAAGGCAATTGACTTGATCGATGAAGCTGGTTCTCGGGTTCGCCTTCGTCATGCACAGGTGTGGTGGAATCAAATACCGAGTGTATGTTAGTTACCATCATCACTTTTCTATCATTATTTAACTTGCTCGTTTATGCAGGTCCCAGAGGAAGCTAGGGAGCTTGAGAAGGAGCTTAGGCAGATAACAAAGGAGAAGAACGAAGCTGTCCGTGGCCAGGACTTTGAGAAGGTACATACCGTATTATATATGTATTCCTCTCAGAATTGTTATTCAACTTAGGGGATAGTAAGAAGACTTATGGGGAGATGGAAATTTCATTTCAGGCTGGGACACTTCGGGATAGAGAAATTGAACTCAGAGCTGAGGTATCTGCTATCCAAGCGAAAGGCAAGGAAATGAGCAAAGCAGAGAGTGAGACTGGTGAGGAAGGTCCTATGGTCACTGAGTCAGACATCCAACACATTGTGTCTTCATGGACTGGTATCCCTGTAGAGAAAGTATCAACCGATGAGTCTGATCGCCTCCTCAAGATGGAAGAAACCCTCCACAAACGTATCATAGGCCAAGACGAAGCTGTCGTAGCCATAAGCCGAGCTATCCGCCGTGCACGTGTTGGACTCAAGAACCCTAACCGTCCAATCGCTAGTTTCATTTTCTCTGGTCCGACCGGTGTTGGGAAATCCGAGCTTGCCAAAGCTTTGGCAGCTTATTACTTCGGATCTGAAGAAGCCATGATCCGTCTTGATATGAGTGAGTTCATGGAGAGGCACACCGTCTCGAAACTCATCGGTTCACCTCCTGGTTACGTTGGATACACCGAAGGAGGTCAGCTAACCGAAGCAGTTAGACGTCGTCCTTACACAGTCGTTCTATTCGACGAGATCGAAAAAGCCCACCCAGACGTTTTCAACATGATGCTTCAGATCCTCGAAGATGGTAGATTAACAGACAGCAAAGGAAGAACTGTTGATTTCAAGAACACGCTTCTCATCATGACATCGAACGTAGGAAGCAGCGTGATCGAGAAAGGAGGAAGACGTATCGGTTTCGACTTGGACTACGACGAGAAAGACAGCAGCTACAACAGAATCAAGAGCCTCGTAACCGAGGAGCTGAAACAGTACTTCAGACCGGAGTTCCTGAACAGGCTAGACGAGATGATTGTGTTCAGACAACTAACGAAGCCGGAAGTGAAAGAGATCGCGGACATACTGTTGAAAGAAGTGTTTGAGAGGCTGAAGAAGAAAGAGATTGAGCTTCAAGTGACTGAGAGGTTCAAAGAGAGAGTGGTCGACGAAGGTTACAACCCGAGCTACGGAGCCAGACCGTTGAGAAGAGCCATCATGAGGCTTTTGGAAGATAGTATGGCAGAGAAGATGCTCGCGAGAGAGATCAAAGAAGGAGACTCGGTGATTGTGGACGTTGACTCTGAAGGTAAAGTCACTGTGTTGAATGGTGGAAGTGGCACTCCCACTACTTCGTTGGAGGAGCAGGAAGATTCTCTCCCTATTGTTTGAAGAAAATAAAAAGGGGAAAGTCTCACTGTGTTCTCTCTTCTTTTGCTTTTGCCCCCTTAAACGAATTATCTGGCAAGAGAAGGGTCTCTCGATGAGACATTTGGGGGTTTTCGTAATATACATTTTCTAAATATATGAAGAAAAAATGTAATGTATAGATGACATTCTGTAGCTTCTTTTTCAATGCTTTTTAAGGACTTACTTTGGTGCCAAAAAGGGTTTTTCTTTTGGTGTGCTCTCACTTATTTCAGTTTAACCAGTCATGCAATTCACTCGGAGATCCTATTTATTCATTCTCGGACACAATGGGTTACAAGTTTTTTATGGAAAACTCGGATGAAGAAGAAACTCCAAATCGACGGAGAAGAAGGAGATCGTCCCAACAAATGCTCAAAGAACAATACAGAGTCCGGAGATCTATAAGAACCTAGTTGAAAATAAACATCTCCAGACTTGCTGAAAACACCACAAATATAGAAGGTTTTATAATATAGAAGGTTTCTCTTTGCATTCGTAAGTGTAATTGTTTTGGTAATCCTTACATGATTAAACATGTATCTTAGAAAGTTAAGTTAACTAGGTGATTATCGGCACTATGTGCAGATAAATATTAACCATAATTTTTGAATATGCAAATATAATGTATATAAATATAATTATAAAAAGTTAGTTGATATTTATAATTGCAAATATATGTACTGATTATGCAATTATAAATTATAATTAAAGTTATATTTATTTTGTAATACAATTTCATAAATGTTAGATAATTATTGGTTTTATAATTAATTTTATAATATTTTTATATAAATAGAATTGTGTATTAAATATACTAAATTAAATTAATATGTTCTATCTAACCGGTCCAACATTAGACTAAGATATTTTGTTTTGATATAAACAAATTTTGAATTATAATATGTATAAAAATAATTTTTTTTTATCATTAAATAAATAATGTGATTATTCTTTTTAATAAAATTAAGATAAAAAAGATGAGATACAAATATATTATTTAATAATTTAAATAATATTATGTATTAAATTTTTGTAAATATGTTGATAAGACAAATTTTAAATTTTAATCTGTATGAAAATATTTAAATATTTATATTATTAAATAGATAATGTGATTATTTTTAACAAAATTATGATAAAAAATGAGAAAAATATAATGTTTAGTAACATAAAAATATTATTAAATTTTTATTAATACGTTGATAAGAAATAGAAAGAGAGAAAATATTTTTACAAATTAAATGTTGAAGTATTAAATATATAATTGATATAAATTAATCTTTAATTAAATTAAAATTAATTAAATACGATGTAATTAATCTAGTTTCAAAAAATATCTAAAAAGCTCTTTGAGATTCACACTTTAACATAGCACTCAGGTAAATATTACTCAATAATATATGAGACAAAAATTTTTTTTTTAAATGTTCTTGTTAATTAATAATATAAGAAGATTCTTGATAACTTGATACCAAATCTCGATTACAAATTTAATATTTACCATTTTGACCCAAAATACTAAATACTAAATAAAAAATTTACCATTTAGATATTATTGTCAAAATCACCTAATTGAAATTGAAAGCTAACAAAACTCTAGCGCATCACTTCTCTTTTACTCTCACCGTGTGCATCGTCCGGCAACACCTCTTCAGCCGCTTCGTCTGACATCGCCGTCGTCCGCCAGCATCGCTACGAGTATTACTTTAGATTTCCGGGTAAGTTTCTGCTAAATTTATTGATAAATCGCAAGTTTCTGTGTAGTTGATTCCGAGATCATGAGATCAGGGTTCTTCTCCAGCATAATCATTTCTTCTACCAATTTCTTTTAGGTTTCCAGCTAGAAGATCCTAACAGCATAATACCACAATGTTCAGCAACAACAACAACAGCGTATCGATCTCAGTGTCGGACGACGAGCCTAACGATCTGAACCGGATCCGAACCCGAACCCGTAGAAAACGGAAGAAACCGGGTCACCGAACCACCTTCGAGCTCCCACGCTACTTTCTTAGGCTTCTCCACAGGTACTGGATCGTCTTGGTCTTTCTTCTCGCGGTTGGATTGCTAGTCTTTGAATCGACGAGCATCGGGACGAAATCTGAGCTCAAAATTCCAGATTCGAGCGGAAAAAGCAAGAAAAATGATGGGAATTTGAATAGATTGGATCCAACGACAAAGGTTATTGGTGGTGTTAGGCAGCGTAAGCTCTTGAATTTCCTATTTGATTACAGAACTACTGATTAGTTTCAAAACTCGTGTGTTGTGAAATGAGGATTTTTTTTGGCCCTGAGGAAAGTGTGTATGGATTTTGTGTTTTAGGTTGTTTGAAGCTTCTGCCTCCTGAAGAGCTTGAGCATCTTGATATCTTAGAGCGTAAACATTCAAGCTCTCCTGTTAAGAAAGTTGTGTACCTAACCGATACAAATGCTTCTTCTATGGACGAAGAGAAAGCTGTTCGTGGTAATGGGACGCGTTTTAATTTATTTACGGGGAACCAGACTTTTGCTGAGAGAGAGAATAGTTTTCAGGTCATGATTTGGTAACTCTACAAGGCTAAGAACTTGAGTTTCCCCATAATCAAAGGTGTTCTTTGATTTTCTGAATATTGTTTTTTTTTTTGTTACATCAGGTAAGAGAAACAGTTTCAGTGCATTGTGGGTTTTTCAATGAGAATGGGGGATTTAGGATCTCAGATGAGGATAAGAAGTTTATGAAAAGTTGTGAAGTAGTAGTCTCGACGTGTGCGTTTGGTGGTGGAGATAACCTTTACGAACCTATTGGAATGTCCAAGGCATCAACTCAAAAGGTTGGTCACTCTGATTCTTGAAATGTTATCTTTTACATATCGAGTAAGCATTTCGAACATATCGTTAGTCTTTTTGTTGAACTATTTTGTCTGCTGCATCCAAAATCCTGAAATGAGTTTTGTGGAAGCAGGTTTGCTACGTTGCGTTTTGGGATGATGTTACACTCGCAACACAGGAAGCAGAAGGTCATAAAGTTGGCGAGGATGGATACATTGGAAAATGGCGAATTGTGGTTGTAAAGGATCTGCCTTTTTCAGACCAAAGGCTTAATGGAAAAATCCCAAAGGTACTCTTCATCTACTTTCAAAGGCACATGTAGTTCTCTTTACCATATGAGCTATTTTATTCTCTGGGTTTTTAACTGTTGCTGATGTCTTCACGGTACTCGTCGCTTCTTATAGATTCTCAAACTTCTTCCTTTTGCGTGTTTGCTTATATCTCACTTCTGCTTATAGGTTGACATAGCCCAGGTTTAGACAGTAAAACCAAAAACTTCTTTGACTTCATTCTGTGACGTGTTAAATGGTCTTTGCTTGATTTGGATTGGCTCTCTGTACTGCTATATTCTTTCTTACTTCTTTCGATCTCATGTATAATATGGTTGGAGTCTGACATATTTGACTTTCCCTTTTAAATTCAAGCACATGTGAGTATAATATAAGATGTTTCAACAATGAATCTATCTGTTGTTAGATGCTCTCTCATCGGCTTTTCCCGGAAGCCAAGTACTCGATATGGGTGGACTCGAAGTCCCAGTTTCGAAGAGACCCTCTGGGTGTATTAGATGCTCTACTATGGCGAACAAACTCTGTGCTTGCGATTTCAGAACATGGAGCTCGAAGTAGCGTATACGACGAGGCAAAAGCTGTCGTCAAGAAACACAAAGCTACACCGGAGGAAGTCGAAGTGCAGATAAATCAGTACCGGCGTGACAAATTACCCGACGATAAAAGATTCAACGGGAAAAAAGGTAAAAAAACATTGAATTCTTAAACGTTTAGAGGATCAAGTTTGTGACAGCATTTTGTGTGTTCCAAAACATACAGCTTTGTCTGAAGCTTCTGTGATTGTGAGGGAACACACTCCATTGACGAATCTTTTCATGTGCCTCTGGTTCAATGAAGTGGTCCGGTACACGTCGCGTGATCAGTTGAGTTTCCCATACGTTTTTTGGCGATTGAAAGTTCTCAAGAACATCAATATGTTCCCTGTGTGTACACGTAAAGATCTCGTCAATAGCATAGGCCATGTACGCAAGGCAAAACCGTTGGTTTAGTCTCTATAAATTTGTCCTTACCTTATTTATTCATTTTTTCTTTATAGTCATTTTGTGTTTAGGTAGTTGATAATTGTAACTGAACGGATATTTCAATTTTTTTGTACCAGACAAAGTGAACCAAAATTAAACCAGAATATATTGTAACTGGATCGTGATTCAACCTAAACTGTCTTCTTACTTACTTTTGTTGTATAAATGGGGTCAATAACTTTGAATTGATCCGAAATTGGGTTTAACTTTCTTTCAATTTACATTATTAATACTAACTAATAAAACTCTTCACTTTTCGTCCATTCATGTGCTTATTCTTTTTCAAAGGTCAGATTCTATGGTCCATTTAATTAGTTTAGGGTGGAATGTTAGTTGGGTCGTGTTTTGTCGGATCAATTTTGATTTCTCTTACTTTATTTTAAATGCAATTTGAACACTCAATTAATGTATTTAGTGGCATGGTTGTGTTGTTAACTACGTCTTTTATGTTTTTTGGTGTATGTTTTACTTTTTGGTATAGTTAAATATGTATTATTAAAGTTGATATGTGTAGCCATGTATTAATGGGTCCACAATCATTTTTCTAATACGAAAAGCCAATAAAAACAAATTAATGATACACAATAAGTCAATAATTTTTTTACTACATCATTACTTTTCACACAATATTTTAGTATAATAATATTTTCTTGTCTACAAAAACTTACTATGCTTTTTGTCCATATGAAAATTTTCTCCACTATTAGCGCTAATAATCTATGACTTCATATTTTTCTTTCTCTAAAACTATATTGACTTCTAGAGTCCTGATTAACGATTTTTTATACATAAACTTCATATTGTAAATTTTATATAGAGACATAAACACATATTTTCGACGAGAAAGTGTTTGTCATTATGATTTTTTGATTTGTGTAGGGAATTATTGAATATGAGAGTGTTGGAGTTTCTAACTAGGTTAAGCAAATGTTAAAAAAATATTAATCACATGCTTGAAATTGATTATCGATTTTACATTTGCCCAAATCATGCACTAATCATGTGGATATGGAATTTATGGTAGTACAGATTTGTAAGAAGATCTGATAATTGCAAAGAGGATTGCTGAGTAACATGACATCTTTAAGGAAAGACATGCTCAAGTCCAATGGAAAAGAGCAGTTTAATGATTCAAAAGCTCTTTTTTTTTTCAGTTTTAACAATGTTTTTTAGTTTTAGTTATTATAGGATTTTGTGATTCATAAGGTCATTATACTTTAAGCTATTTGTACTCTACTTGTTGTTCTTTAATCTTCTTGTTTTCTTTATTTTGGTTTCGTGTAATTTTTCTTTTCTGCATGGCTGCCAAAAGGTTGATTCGAATCCAAAAAGAATTCAAGAATCACATGAATCACATTGCGAATGGATCCAAAAAGGAAACTACAGTCTTCATCACTATGGAGAAGACAATGAAATTTATGTGTCGTGATTTTTTGGATCTATGTTTATGTTTAGATTCTCAATAGTTTTGACTCAGATTAGAACTATGATTAAATCTCTTTTTCTGGAGTAGTGAAATAATTAGACGTGTGTGTATAACATTTAACCTGTTGTTAACAATTTTTCTTTTTTTCTTTTGTTTTGTAGCGTTTGAACCATAAAACTAGTCAACAACACACAAATACGGAAACATTCAATTTTTCTTCTAACAGTGCTAGGACACAATTTCTTCATAAGTTTTTATAAAACTGTTAAACAATAGAACCGAAACCATAGTGCCCACTTTATTATTTTATAAAATTAAACTCTTAAACAAAACCTCTAACTCAACAATCGAAATGTATTTCCTAGTTTTTTGGGCCGGCACGAACCTAGGCCGACTAAACTAAAAAAATATACTAGCCCAAATGGACTCAACCCAAGAGACTCGAATAGTCCGATCTGCAACAGAAATAGATTTATCTTTTTCCACTCTTTTCTCTTGTTACTCTAATTGATTACAAAGTCGATTATAAAGTAGAAGACGATACGATCCACTAATTCCTGCGCGTTTAAAACCCTGAATCTATGCAATTAGTATTGTAACAATCTCCTCCTTTTTGCATTTTAGCCAATGACTTCTACATTTCTAGCACGACGCTTGTTAGCGAGATGCTTCTCCTCCTCCTCATCGGTTTCTCTCTGTCCTCTTCACATCTGCATCGTTGGTAGTGGACCTGCTGGTTTCCATACTGCCGAAGGTTCTTCTTCTCCTCTCTTTGCAACTTTGTTTTGTGATAGCAAAAAAACAAAGCAAAAATACACCCATATATATTGAGGTTTGAGATGCGGTGAATGGTGATTTTTGTGATATGAATCATCAAATGAAAGACTCTTACTTGATGGGTGGTGATCTCAGCTATTAAAGGCACATGAAGGAGCATTTGTAGATATAATTGATGGGAGAGTTTCAGATTTAACCCATATTTCAAAGTCAAACACCAAGCTAACTTCTTTTTTTTCTCTCTCCAACTTTTGCCATTTTCTGACAATTTTATCCTTCCCACTTAAACTATTAACGAAAATGCCATTATACATCTATTATTTCGATTTTTTTTTAATTTGGCTAAAGTCTCCTTGGACCTTCTAAAGACCTTTTTATTACGAGAATGCCATCTTCTTCAATTTCTTCCACCACCATGAACAACCATGAAAATGGAATAAATGCTTCTCAACCAATTTTAAAGCTGTATTAAGTAAATATTTGAGCTCATTCACTCATAACCTTCCTCATTCTTTCATAATTTCTTCTCCAAAACATCTGGGCTAAGTTACAATGCCAAAAGTCATGCATTTTCGATGATTTCTGGTTACTTGACATATGGGTTGCTTATTTTTGGTGAAATCCTGAGTTCTGGGTGCTTAAAAGAACTGTAGCCGAGCTCAATTTTGTTAAAGGTAATCGTCGCACTTCAATTTTTCCATATTTCAGTTTTCATATCGCGAAAGTAGACTTCTCGTGAAATATACTGAAGTCTACTAGTCAACATAAGGTTATTTTTGCAATTGACTTTTTTAAAGTAGAGTTCATTAAACCCCACGAGAAGTCTACTCGATATCCTTTAAAAAAAGCATAGTAGACTTCATTTGAAGGCTTAAGAAGTCTACGAAAGAAAAGAAGTTATTTTTGTAGTTGACCATATTTTGACTTTTTAATGTAGACTTCTTTCTAAAGTCTACTGTTTACGTCTGCACAAAAAGTCTACTTTTAAGTTACTTTTGTAGTTTGACCAAAAACGTATAAGTCATTTTAGTGTTTGACTAAAGTTTTTTAAAAAATAAACAATTCAAAAAACTCCAAAAATCTGCAGTAGACTTCAAAAAGAAGTCTAAAAACTGTAGACCAAGTCTACTTATATTTTTCAGTCAAACTTAGAAGGAATCTTTTTTTGAGTAGACTTCACAGTGAAGTCTACTAAAGATAGTCAATTGCAAAAATAACCTTTTTTTTTCGTAGACTTCTATTGAAAAAGTAGACTTCAAAAGTAGACTGTCAGAGAAGTCTACTCTTACATGAAGTCTACAATAGAAGTCTACTTTGTTAGTCAATGGCTAGGTCAAATGCTAAAGTAACTTTTTTGGCCGGAAGTATATTTCTGAAGTCTACTTAAGGAAAAGTCAACGGATTGGTCAATTGCAAAAATAACCTGTTTTTTAGTAGACTTTAGTAGACTTCACTATGAAAAAGTTGACTTCTCCTCCAGTCTAAGTATGAAGTCTGCTTTAGAAGTCTATTTATTGCAGTTTTTTTAAAAACGCGTTTTAGACAAATTTATAAAGTATTTTTTTAATTTTTTGGATTAGAATGGCTTCTTAGTAAGTGATTGAACTACCCAGTGAATTTCATTTCATTTCATTCGATATTTATTGCGGAATCAGAATTTTTGATTTTTAAGCTACTTAGCTTATCAAAGTAGACTTCAGTAGACTTCTCCTGAAGTCTACTAAGGAAGTCTAATTAGGAAGGAAGTCTACTTTTTGTATTTATTTTAAAAACGCATATCTTAAATATTTATAACTTTTTTTTTTAAAATTTTTAGGTTTTGACATGCGTGTCAGCTATTGATTGAATTACTCAATGGCTTTCATTTGATTTAAATCGATATTTATTGCGGAATCGAATTTTTATTTATAAGCTAGTTAGCTTGTGAAAGTAGACTTCATTTGCAATCTACGAAGTTTTCGAATGAAGTTTTCAAATGAAGTCTTCTGTGTAAAAAAATTGATACTTATGTATTTGCTATAATGTGTTTTGTAATTATGTTTGCTAATGTCATTTTTTATGTTTTCTTACAAAACTACCAATTAAATATGTTTGTGTTATACTTATGCTTTAATTTTTCTTGTGTTATTAGACTTACAAAAATTTCCAACCCTATCATCTAATACATATTATACTTCATAATTGTTGAACTATGGTTTATGAGATATTTTTCATAATTCTAGTAAAAGAAGCAAACTTTGCAAACATAAATTGTTTGTTTTCTTCGGGTACAAAAGCTTTGTAATGGAATTAGCAAAAGCATTTCCTCCAATTTCAATCATGGCGTCGACTTCCTCATCTAAACAAATTATATATCAAATTATCAAGCATGTAATCAGAAGATAATTAGATAAATACAAATAAAAGACATATGTTCATGACCATTACAAGTTGTTAAAGATACAATACAGTTTTATGATCATTACATACAAAACAGTTTTATGATCATAACTGGTTTACACCAAGAAGTTTGTCTAGCACAAAACTCAACTCTGTGGCACCAATCCACTTGCGGGATCCTGTAAATGAAGGATTATTGTCACCTATTTCCACGAGTGTTTGCTGGATTTCCCTGAAAATCCAAAGAGTGGTACTTGGCAGATTAAGAGATGAAGAGGAGTTTCTGGCACAACAAGAGAAAGTTAATATTAGAAGTGGAGACACTATTTCAAACTTTTTACAATGAAACATCAACCATATATTGTGCCAGTAATCATTTACGAACTTCAATTCCGGTGAAAGGACGGGCTATTAAAGATTTCAGAAATAATTACAGAGCTTTCCGTTTCTTTCATTTCCCACATCATCAGGTTGATGCATTGACACAATGTTTTGAAACCATGAAAGAATGAGAAATGATATACCGAGTTCACTACAAGAAAAACA